TGGACCCTAGTCTTCAAATAAGGTTACTCATATCAATTTCCCATCTTCAGATATGGAGGCCCAGGATCCCAGCTTGTCAGTGATCGATTCCGAATTGACTGGGGTGACTACTTGGCCTCCGAGCGAGGAATCATCTATGCTTCCATTGATGGTCGCGGCTCAGGCTACTCTGGCGATAAGCTACTCCATTCTCTGTACTATGGCCTTGGAACAGCTGAGGTTGATGACCAGATTGCAGTGACATCGTAAGTATTTTTAGTCATGCAGTTCAAAACTGAAGTAATGATAAAAAACCCAGTTCAGTGGAACATTAACCAGCAACTTGACTAAATATTAGTAAAGCTATTCAAAGTCAGTGACAGATTTTAGTTTGCTATGTGGTGTAGTCTGAAGAATACCTTTCTTAATTTTATTTACCTCCCTTGACAGAGCTCTGCAGAAGTCCTTCCCATTCATTGATTCTTCCCGAACGGCCATTTGGGGATGGTCCTACGGCGGTTATGTAACTGCTGCTGCCTTATCAAAGGATGTAAACAATGTCTTTAAGTGTGGTATATCAGTTGCACCTGTGACTTCCTGGATCTATTATGGTAAGCTGCCTTCCTACTCACACATCCATCCCAAGTCAGCCACTGTTTTTATATAACATGACTTTCCCGAAGATAGTAATTCAAATACATGAAATTGTATTTAGCCTAACCATTTAATTTCTAATTTTCAGATACCGTATACACTGAAAGGTATATGGGTCTCCCTACGCCTGATGATAACCTGCGTGCTTATGACGCCTCAGACATAACCAGAAATGTTACAAACTTCAGAAATAAAGAATTCTTCCTTATACACGGTACTGCTGATGACAATGTGCATTACCAACAGTCTATGATGTTATCCCGAGCATTAGAAGTAAATGACATTCTGTTCAGATCACAGGTAAGGCATGGGATCAAAATGCAGTACAATATTTAGTTGCACACATATTTTACATTCTTTGGTGAAAATGGAAGATAATTTCTTTAAACACAATCTGCAATAAAATTATCTTCCAGTTTTCCATTCACCTAATGACATATGTTACAAGATGACATGCATTATCTATTCAGTATCAGTGCTTAAAAAAAAAAAACATAAAAACATCACTTTTACAGAGCTACCCTGACGAGAACCATGGTCTGGCAGGAGTCAAGAGGCATCATTACCACAGCATGGAAGACTTCCTGAATGACTGCTTCAACAAGGCATAATCATCACTTCTTTAAAAATGATGTCTGTGTAATAATTTCTTTCATATTCCGTAAAAAAGCCATATATTTTGTTAGTTTTCACAAATGGGTATCTTTTTCTATTGCTCACTGAAAATACATTTATATAAAATATTTAGAACAGTGTTTCCCTGTCTCTTGTGTGTGAAGAGCTTTGACACTGTTAGTGATATACTGTACTTTAAAAAGTACGTCTTTCTTTCTCTTCATTTGTAAAGGGCAAAATGAGGTTATTATGAAATTTTATAATGACTTCAAAACTTTTTTTTATAGGGAAAATGACTGCATTCCAAGATATATCATTCCAAATTATCGAGAATGAATAGAGCTTTCTAATAGTAGCATTTACATAGGCAGCATAATGATGATACAAATTCAGATTTTATAGTATGCAGATACTAGAGGGATTTAAAAAAGGACAATATTGGTATAGATATATATATATACATATATATATGTATATGTAAGTATGTATATACACATTATATATTAATATATAATTATAATATATATATATATATATATATATATATATATATATATATATATATATATATTATATATATATTAATATATATTTACACATATATATGTATATACATATTTTCAATATATATATTCAGTATAATATATATATACATAAATATATTTAATATAATATATTTATACACATACATTCATTATGATATATATATATATATACATTATACATATTTATATTCAATGTAATATATATATATATATATATATTCAATATTATATATATACATATTCAATATGATATATATATACATATTCAATATGATATATAGATACATATATATACATATTCAATATGATATATATATATATATATATTATATATATATAATATATATATATATATATATATATATATATATATATATTTATATAAAGAAAAAGTTGTAATAGGCAACTAGCAGATTTGTACAGTGTATAGTAATTTACTGGTATATGCCTGAAGAAATATATTATCTCCATTTTTTAATGATGTACAGAACATTCCAGAGTTCTTTGGATTTATATTTTCATCATTACCTCAAAACATTCATCAGTGATAATAATAAATTTGGGCAAATGACAACCATTATTACATTTGTGACCTTACTGTACTGGGATTGATTAAATTAGACGTGTGACTTATATACAGGCTCGAGAGAAATAAATACTTTTTAAAAATCCTGTATTTCATTCCCTGTTCCTCTATGTTTGTTACTGTATTGATAAACCATGAAATGGTAAATAAAATGTAAATGTATCCTCTCTTTACAGAAATATTTCTATTGTCACGAGTCTTGTAATTGAAATGTAAGATATTTATATTTTGCATAGCATATCAACATTTGTAAAATTAAATAAAACTGTTTACCAAGTAAAAAAGGGAGAATGAAAGAAAGCAAGAAAGCATCAGATATGTAAGATAGCTTTAACAAAAGCCAACACTTGAATGTAGTTTGAATATGAAGGAAATAGATATATACTAGCATATTTTCACATAAAGAAAAAACTGCTAAACAAATTAACTACATTATATCTATCTATCAACTCTATGTAAATCAAAGGAAGGTTAAATTTCATCCTCTTCTCATCATGTTGCTTGTTCAGAGAGATATGTGCAACTTTATTAAATAATTTAAAAAACGTTTTATGGTTAAAACAAATAAATGTGCAAGACATAAAAAGTAATATAACACTATAGTAAAGTATTGTGGCGAAAAGGGTAAACATAAGTTAATGATTCGGATGAAATGTGTTAAATGTCAAAGGTTAGATACTGATAGGATAGTATGGTAGTGAAAAGGATAAAGAGAGGGAGCAAATGAGTAGTAATAGAGGAAAGGGTTAAGTGTGTAGGGTGACTGCATGAAATGGGGAGTATCTGTGGCCGAGGAAGAAAGAGGAACACTGTTTAAGGAAAAGACCATTATGAAACAATCAACGGGTAATACAGGTTGAGATGGGTGTTGGGGAAATAAGAGAAGAATCTAAGGAAGGAGATAAGGGAACAGTAGTAAAAGTATCAGGAAGCACGTCAGGATAAGATGGATCCGGACACTATTGTGACATAAGGGAGTCAAGTGAGCATACAGGTGGAAGTGATTAAGATAATGGTGGACGACGGAATGGTGCACATGGAGAAGGAGATAGAGTGTTTTGGGGGAGAGTGAGAGGAAGAGGGGTAATGGGAACTTTAGGAGGAGGAAAACAGATATCAGCAAGTACTTTGATGAGGAGCGTTTTCTTGGGTCATGTTTAGAATCTTTTAAGACCAAAACCTTTTGGTCTTAAAAGATTCTGTAGGGGAGTTGGGTGGTCTGAGAAACAAAAGTTTTCTTGTGAGTAGAAGAAAAGGGGATAGAGGTCTCAGTGTAGGTAAGAATATGGTAGAAGATGCAGTGGAATGATTAGGTTGCCTCATGTGACAGATAAAGTGAGGAGGAAGAGGGGTAGGCATCAGGGATGTGGTAGAGATTGGAGTATCTTGATTTAGATTGGAAAAGGAATTTGAATGGAGGAGAGAGCTGTGCTTCCTGTCTGGCCTCATGTAGAGTGAGGCCTAGTTTGAATCTGAGAACTGCTTTCTCCGATTCGAGTTACAGTGGAGTTACAGTGTTTGACTGGGTGGCCAAAACGCCAACATTTCTGACACTAATGAGGAAGGGGTTGATATGGTCTGACAAAGTAGAACACTCATCCAATATAAACTTCATGGGGGAGCTCATGTCTATGGAACCTAATCTTAGCAATACTGAAGGATTTACATTAGCCGCTGGGGGAAAAAGTGTAGCACTGTACTGCCACTGCATCATAATCAACAAGGCAGGAAAGCAGGTCATTCTTACAGTCTGACCAGTCCTTGTTGTAAATAGGACGATCAGTCAGTGGTCAGATAGTGCATGAGCTTATGACTCAGATGTAACTGACAAATCGTGAACAATCGGAAAAACTGCAATAGGAAACTTTGCCTACTTGTTTTTGGAGACAGGTATTGTCAGAATAAGGGCTGTTGGGGGAATCACAAGAATCGATCCCACTTGGCTGGGCCAAAAAGGGTACTCAAAAGGTTTGCAGAGGTGGAAGCAGTAGAAGGACAAAGGCATGAGAAAGATGGGGGTAGTGTGGAGTGAGGTAGTACTGTGGGGAGGACAATAAGGATGAAGACTAGTAATAAGGGGGGAAGGGGGTAGACAATAAAGAAGACTGTACAGTAGAAGATGGAGTGGAAGATGTTGGGAGAGAGAAAGGAGTGCATTCTCAAGGTTGAGTAATGACCTGGGTAGATGGTTCAGAATGGATAGTTTTAAGTAAACATCGAGGAGGGAGTATTAGTAACTGTGGTCAGAGCCATGGTCAAAGGAGAGGCAGTGGTCGGGAAACCAATGAAAGGTGCAAGCCTTTCTGTCCCTGAAAAAGGTAAAAAATCATTATTAGCCATAGTGAACCTGAAATATGTGGGGAAAGGAAACAGTCTACCCCTCCTCTGGGTTGTCATAAGGGATAAGGGATGGGCTATTAACTAAGGGAATACTGTGCCCATGGTTCTGGGAGGAATACCACAAAGACAATCTTTGTTCCTTTCAGCACGGCTCTCACATGTTTGGAAGTGGACAGGAGAAGGGGATGAAGAGAAGGAAAAGGAAAGGGGGAGAAGATAAGACCATACAATAGAGAGCAAGGTATTGGGGAGTTCGGGAATAATAATAATAATAAAAAAGATAATTTGTTATTATCTATTTTACCTTATTAATTAATCAACAAAAGATATCTCATTTCCAATCACAAGGGGTCTTTCCTGAAGTGTAGAATAATACAATCAGTTATAAGAAAACATATCTGGCTTTTTGCTTTATATATATATTTTTGTACAATTAGCATACTTACATATATACATATAATTACAAGTTACTACACCTATAATACTGCACCTCATTTATAAAACCAGATTCACTGCCACAGCAAGAAATTCTTTATCATCTATCTCATTAACTCAAAAAACAGCATCAGTTTTCATAATGAATAGAGTGTTGTTGGCCCCATAATGTTGAGGGAGAAGCTAAAATTCATAAAGATATTCAAGTTCCCCTCCTGGCAAGTACTATGGGTTAAGGTGGGATGTCATCCAGGACACCAGGGATAAATGTACTATCTGCAGACTTGCAAAGCATTTATTAGGAAATAAGAATCTCTGGTTAACCAAAATGAAGCTGTACAGGTGTCACTGTAAACAAATGAATTTCATGAATTCTCCTTTTCATGTGACGTCTTTACGTATAACACTTCATCTGAATATCTCCCTTCTTAGCACTTCTTAAATGATAAACAGATCTGCAATAAAAGTATATATAAAAATAAATAACAAATAATTCTAAACGAAACAGAAGTAAAGGGAGCGATATGTACTTACGCAAATATAGTAAGAAAGTGCTAACCATATCATGCAGTATTATAGCTGATGAGATCATTTTCAGGATGAGCAGGTTCACTAGAATCACTTTCTGAATTTGATGTGTCTCGTAACTCAACTGGAAACATGTCACCCCAGTCTGAATTTTTACTTATTTGGTAACATTCTTTGCCATGTCTCTTTTTTGTTACTGTAAGTTCTTGGAGTGTGCCATACTTTGTACAAGTACGACATACAACATGTCTTGCACGGCATAATGGGGCACGCACAATGCGAGGCCAGGCTACATTGTCACCTACATCATTTCTCTTTCCTTTCTTAAGTACTACATAACTAAACAGGTCCTTGCTTGTATCACTATATTTACCAAATCTAAATGGTCTGTAAGATACTTGAAAATTACAAGGGGTATTAGAGCCATCAAAAAATCTTGGACAGAACATGTCGTGTGGACAAGGAGAGAAAACATGTCCCTCCAAATGATCTCTTTCTTCTTCCGACTGATGACCCACCTTTAATGCATAATCTCGTGCTTCCTGAATCAGTCTGTACCCAGCATTAGTCCCTGCCTCTACCAGCACCAGGTATTTTGATGTTTTTCGCCAAAGTATATCTATTGTTCTTAGTCTTGAAGCCATGTCAGGCAGCTCAAACAGGGACCGAGAAGAAACCACAATATCATACTTCAAGGTACTGGACATGGGTAAAAACTGCTTGAAAAATGTTCCTCCTGGTCTTGTTTGCAGTGGCTTCTCTGGGTCACCTCCTCTAAGAAGCCTGTCAGCCATGTCATTCATTTCGGAACTGGAGTCAATGCACACTGCCTCTTTACAATTTCCAGGCCAAATGTTGTCCACCGCCCTATCAAGGAAGAAGGAAAAAAGAGATGAAATATATATATTTCACATTTAAAATTAGTCTCTTTTGTACTCAAAGCACATGTAAAATAAACTAAAGAAAAAGAGAAAAGCAAAAGAATTTGCAAACAAATGGGTATGATACAAGCAGTATTTTGCTGAGGTATCTAGCACAATGGCTAGCAACAGAATATGTTTCTCAACATGCAGCCCACCCTGGCATACACACCTGTTGCCAAAGCATTAAATTCTACATCAAACAAATCAGAAAGGAACCCTAGAATACTCTACACAGGCATGAGATTTTAATCAGTGAGAGTATTTTCCTGAAGAATATGGGAACATTGGAATTCCAGTTTTTCCATTAAGTTTTTATGGAGAATAAACGTGTCTTGAAAAAATAAAAATATAAAATAAATGGACCTTTTCTTGAGCATATAAAGTGTCCAATCAATCTGAAAACATGAATATGTTGTCATATCTACAGTGTTATATAATGTAGTGTATCAGGACAAGCATCTTGAAAAGATATGTTCATAAAAAGGATCTCTTTGTTTACCTCCTTCACCTAATGGATCACATTCTTGGCCTTACACAAGGCTGGAACCAAAGGGCCATGTGTATCATCATCATCATCATCAAGGGGCTAACACCGACGGGGACGCATAACCACATCCACCCTTCGTTTCCACATATACATGGCAAGACGCCAGGCAGGGACTCGGCCCATCTCGAGTTCTTCACAACAGGTTTGGTCAATCTGCCCAAGCCACGACTTCCTAGATCGTCCCACAGGCCTTCTCCACCCAGCATTGCCTCGAACAGAGACGACCTGATGGGCAGGATCATCCTGAGGAAAGCGAGCCAGGTGGCCATATAGCCTGAGTTGCCGATCCCGGATTGTGCAGATAACAGGTCCTGTGCCAGTCTCACGGTGCAACCATTGGATGGACACATGGTCCCGCCAACAGTACCCCATGATCCAGCGCAAGGACCTATTACAAAAGGCTTTAAGACGAGCCTCCAAGGCACAGGATAATGTCCAGGTTTCACTACCGTATAGCAAAACTGGCATTAATATGGCACTGAAAACCCATAGCTTGGTCCTTCTGCACAGGTATTGACATCTCCAAATACTCTTGTTGAGAGAGTTCATGACCCCTGCTGCCAGGCCAATCCATCAGCTGACTTCCTGGTACCAAGGTACGTAAAGCTCTCTGGGACTTCAGTGTCCTCACCGCAAGCACGTACTGACTGAACAAGTTCTCCTAGCAAGTCCCCAAAGTCCTTGATCTTGGTCTTGGTCCAGGAGACCTCTAGACCCAAGGGTTCTGCTTCATTGCTAAATGCATCCAGAGCCACCACTAAGGTTTCCAAAGACTCAGACAGAACAGCAACATCGTCAGCGAAGTCAAGGTCTGTAACCTTGATATTGCCCAGTGTTGCTCCACAATGACTTTGAATAGTGGCTCTGCCCAATATCCAGTCCATGCAAGTGTTGAAAAGAGTTGGCACAGCCTTGCCTCACTCCTGAATGTGTATAGCTCATGTAAATAAGTGACAACTGTGATTGTAACTTCTTCCATTCAAACAAAAAGACATGCAGTCAAGGGTTCTTGGGTCATTTTATGTATACAAAATGGTATAAAGAAGTTCTGATATAAAAATGGTTCTTTTTAAATTTTCTCCCTTGACATACCATGTCTCCCAGCTACTAGGCTACCTTGTAGTGGTGGAATGAAATTAAACAACCAGCATTTGGCTTAGCTGGTGACCAGCTTCAGCACAGAGGAAGCTTATTGACA